TGAAATAATTAAATTAAATATCCGAACTATTTTTATCTCAATTTCGTACCACATACGAATTATGTTGTTTAACTTATTTGCGAAAAACATCTTGATCTCTTGACCGCAAGTTCAAATTCCCGATCTCGTTCAACGCTTGTTATTGTTTGCACAATATTTTTTACGTTATGTTGAAGGTTGAATATTGTATACCTATCTTTTATTTACTAAATCGTGTAAGTTTATGTATTTTAAAGTTCAAAATTATGAAGACTGACCAATTCACGATTTCACTTATCTTGCTAGAGGACAGCTTTCAAAAGTACAAAAAGTTCGTACATATAACCTTCTTCCTTCCTTTACTCATTTCGACTTTTCGAGGATTTTTTATTTAATTTAAAACACGAATTCGATAAAAAGTTTCAGTATGTATTACCTAAACGTTTACTGTAGTAATCATTTGTCCAGTCCATCGCCACTTTTAATGATTCCTTAAAATTCGCTGGTTGTATTTAAACACCTTATTTTTACTAGCTGAGACTACGGCTTCGTACGCCTAGAATAAATTCGTATTTTAGGTATCAATTTTTGTTTTTGCAAACCTCCTATTCAACTCTCTAAATTTAAGTTTCTACCCACGACGTCGCGTCCGCGTCCCATCGTTCTTGCAAGTTAATCTTAAAAGATAGATATATACTGTCTTGGACTTTTTTTGATAATTTAAAGAGAAATCATTCCATTCTACGTATTTATTCTCTCGAACCATTTTCGCAGCTTACGCATCGGAAGCCCAAAGATATGAAAGTTCCTCCCGCTGCTTTATATATTATTATAGATAACAACGTGGAGTGACGTATGTATGTAATGTGGAGTGATGTGTGATGTAATGACCACATGTAATTAATTTACTTATTTTTCGTTTTCCACACGTTTGATCAGATTTAGACTGAGTAAGGATTTTTCAAGTAGAGTTATGCATATGCACTGCTATGCATTTCCAAAAATTATAGAAGTGAAATGCACTTTTCACTTCTAGGATTTTCTATAATTCACCTTTGAAACTACTACCAAAGTCGTGGTCTTTTTACTTTAGCTTATACAAATTCCTTAACTACCTTCTCCTGTCCGGGCTCCGCTAACATAATCTCTAGGTATAACATTATAACTAGTGCCTCATATCGGCGCCGTTCACTCGATGTTCCAATAAAGTTTTGTCAAGGGATCTTCGCCGGCACATAATAAAGTATTACAAAGCCAAAGACCGTCATTGTTGCCGGTACTTCAATCGGGGCCCTCTCGGGTGCGCGTTTAGTGCGGCGAGTGCACTCGAATCAAAAATATTCCAGCTCAGAGTATTCGAGAGAGTAACGAATGCATAAAAGATTTCGCTTTGTTACACCTTCGTATTTCGACGCCACAATTTGTGGGAAGGGAAACACAATATTCCAAAATAAATACCTCAAATCGCATCGACCGTAATTCTTTAGTGGAAAACAAAAGATAATACTAATTAAGGTCGTCAGATAAAAATCCTTATTATTTAAAGTAAGTCCTACAAATTTACAGATAATAATAATTTTATGCTTTTCAGTTATCATATGTTATTCAATAGGCATTTGTTTAAGAATATTGCTAAAACCAATTTGATGCAATTATTTTATTAAAACAGTTTCACGATTTGTTCCACAACAAGCAAGCAAATGTCAGTGTGCCTGGCAAAAAAATCGCCGTAAGATTTAATTGGAGATCACGATCTAAATAAAATATAGTACATTATTATATATCATATTTTATTTTAAAACATTTTTCGTTTGAATAGTCACAAACGACTCTTACGTCACAGAATGATTCGTCGGTTATCGCGTCATCACTCAAGCGAGTGTTTGGAGCCCGTTAACGTTAAACTAAAACGCAACTGAGGCCAGTCAAAGCACAGGTGCAAACACAACTTAAGAGGACAGAGATATGGTTTTATGAGTTCACAACGTCCTCGTCGTATCTGCACGAACGTCGCGTCGAACAACGAATGAGTTGTACTGAATGACTTTAAATACTGTCTTTAGTTTAAAATGCGATATATTAGTTAGAAACGTCGGGCCGAAGTTAAAAATCATTTTCAAATATGTTTAACGAATATATCGCGTTAAACCGTTAAAGTGTTTTATTTAAATCTAAATGATTTTGTATAGCACGTCCTTAATAAAACTGCAAAATTTTCGATTACATGCGTATAAAAAAGCTCATGCGTACTTAAATATTTTACTTGTACTTTTTACTTTTTATATATGTATGTACAAGTTTCATTTATTTATTCTTCTACATCTACACCAATATTATAAAGAGAAAAGGTTTGTATTTATGTGTGTATGTTTGTAATGAATAATGTCAAAAACTACTGTGGTGATTTTATTAAAATCTTTCACCATTGCTACATTCACCCTGAATAAACTCTCCCAGAATCATGTGTGTAAAAGTTGTGACAAATCTATACTACTATATAAAGCTGAAGAGTTTGATTGCAAAAACGGTTCAAGATACACAAAAATGATTCCTCTTCATCTTTTAAGATTAACTTGCAAGAACTACGGGAAGGGACGCGACTGTAGTCGTGGGTAACAGCTTAAAGTTTATAATTATTTATTTAGAATTTGGATGCCCAAAATAACGATTCTCGCGGACGAAGTCGCTGACACAGTAATAGTTTTATAAACACAAAGTAATACATGACTAAATTAAATATTTTTTTGCGACCATAGTCAAAGCGATCTTAGAAGACTAGCATTCATATGCAGAGAAAACAATTATTATTGTATTTATAACAGTTTACAGACAAAAGAAAGCTTCTACCTGTAAGTCATTAAAAGAAAAAAAAAATAATTCTGAAAGTTAAAAAAGCGAAGCGTCTCAGAGTTCGTTTCGAGACATTTGTTATTATGAACGTTCACATCTAAATTATGAACTTAAAGCTCTTTGTATAATAGAATTTCACTAAACACAGAAACTGTAATGTAAATGATAATCAAAAAAGTTTTTACAAGCAATTACAAAAAAAATTAATATAGAACAAAAGTTAAAACTTATTCCGACGTTGATTTTTATTATAGACGCTGTACGCGATATAAATGAGGGCCCAAAAAGTTATAATAATATGTTTCTAAAATACTACGACATCTTGAATAACATAAGGCAAATGAGTGTCAATATTCGACCTGAAAATGCTTGGAATTAATTTAAATCATTTTGAAAAGTTCGTAAAAGTTTTGTGTTCGCGGATGTTACAGGCGGAAATTTAAAGTATGTATTACGAACGCCACAAACCGTCAGCCTAGCGAGCATGAGAATTCCATTACTGCCTTTCCCGTGACACGTTCAGTTTTGCTTCAGCATTCAAACTCCAAAGATATTCCCAAAATTCACCCGTCTGATTTCACTACTGAGACACCTACTCTAACTCAACTCTAGCGCATGGCTCGTGGACCTAACTCCCGATATGTAAATCTGTTTTGTTGCATATTTAGTAAAAATTGAATAGGTTTTCATTAAAATTTCGGAAAAAAAACAAAAAGCACCTGTAACATCGAATATATAATATCATATACGAGAAATTAAATTTCTACCCTGCGAAATGGAGATCCTCTCGTCTCCGCATAGTATTTGTAGTAGCCAAGGCAACATTTGCGGCTGATTGGATTTGTTTGGATATTCGCTTAGTTTCGTTGAGGTTCTGAGAACGGCACAATGCACTTCGCTATCGACTGTTAGTTTCACGACGTGCAGCCAATACTTTTATTCTTGTTACGTGCTCGAGTACTCGTTCCATGAATACTTAAGTGGTTAATTACACGGAGCCGTTTAAATAATATCCAATAGACACAAGACTGGTTTAGTCAAAATACAGCAGACAATAAGAAGAGAATAAATAATAAAATATATTTATACTTTATTTCCATACAGTTTTAAAAATTATTTATATTCGTCACATTTTTTTTTTTTGTTTGTCTGTCTGTTTGTCGTTATTCTACAGAGTGTTCAAAAGAGCAACATAACTGAGAAGAACACTCAAGATACTCAGTCCGGCTTTTTTAACATGTCTTATAAACTAATACATTGTGAATTTACTAACCTAAGGAGCAATTAATATTACAACCAGGCGGTCTTGTCATTAAATAAATCGTTCAGACCATAATATGCCTAGACAATCTAAATTTTATAACTTTATCTCAATCTATACTCATCCTTCGATGGTATTTGTAAAGCAAATAGATTTTTAGATCTTTTGTAAGTTCGTAAGTAAGATCGTAAATCGTAACCGCAGAAATGTTATTAAAGCTTCAATTAAATGATGAAAGACTTTGCGAGAAATGTTCTCAGTTTAAACAAAGAACTTTACGAAGCCATTACTGGTAATTAATCGTAGTGGAATTCTTTCGAAGGTCTCGAAGGTTTAGCTTTTCAAAGGCTCAAGAAGTCTCGTTACCCAATTCAGTACATTCGAGACGGTCGCATTATTATACTCGATTTAAAAAGATCACTATTAATTATTCACTCTCAACTTTGAACAGATAAATTGTGTTTATATTTTCATTACAAAAGGGGGGATCATGCTAATGTAGGTGATGCTGATGCCCTATTTAAGTTTTCTACATTCAGAAATCAAACTGCACTCGAAAGGTAGATTTACGCTTCTCGGACCTTCACCATTCCTTTCGGACGAGTAAGACAAACAGTTCAAAGTGCATAATGCAGCAATAAGTTATAAAATCTGCAAGAAAGGAGAAATCGATGTTCAGCGGTCGTTGACTCACTCCAAGATCCACTATTAGCCCGTTTCCACGTAACAACATCTTTTAAAGCAGAAAATGGATGAAATAGAGAAGCTGTTAAAAGAAATACGACATTTCTCATCTCTGTTTATTACCGTACATTAGTTATACAGCTTCCGTAGGTAGTGTCGTTTCGGCATGGAATGGGAACTAATGAGATTTTGATGTTTTTTTGACTGAGCTTTTATTTTTCACAATATGCTCCAACGTAGAACCGCAGGCACTTTTACCGACCCACTTCGCGATGGAAAAGTGAGTTAATTAAACAATCATGAAACATCTTAGTGTAAAGGAAATGTCGTTTCCGTCGTAAAACCGAAAAACAACATACGTCTTATAAATATATAGCGTGTAAATGAGATTCAATTGAGTTTTAATTATTCGGATAAAACGATCGTCATACATGACTAGCGGACTGTGACTCGCCGCACAATTTCAATAACAATAACGCACATAGATCAATAAGTAGCCAATTAGCACTCCTTTTATTTTCTATGCACTGAATCTGCATGCAGTTTTGAAAAGATATTATCATAAGTTGTATGGTGGTTTACGATGAGAATACTGCCTAAAATATTTCACTAAATCTTATTACAGTAGAACCAGTTTAAGACGATCACGCTTAATACGATTTCTCGCATAATACGCCACTTTACGCCAGTCCCTGCAACTTGAGACATATTTTCATACATTTCTTAACGCTTAGTACGATTCGTCATCCCGTTTAATACGCCCGAATGCGTGAGACGAACCTGAGATACTGCAGGGTTTACCTGGATATTCTTCCATTGATGACAATGTAGCACCGTGCGAACTTCAATCAATTGAAGATATTATTGAGAACGTGAATAACACACAAAACGAGGCCCTAAATGATAGTGATGAAGACGATGATGAGTCAAGTCCAGTTTTGTCAAACGCTCAGGCATTATCAGCTGATAATGATTTAAGACGATGTGTAGCTTAATTGAATCAAAGCGAAGACGCACTGCAAAAGTTAAATTATGTTGAAAATATTTTAATTGCTAATGCATCAAATTCTTTCTGTCAAACCAAAATTAGTGATTATTTTACATAATATTATTATTATAAGCCTGTACTGTCCTACTGCTGAGCAAAGGCCTCCCTCCTATCCTTCAACCTATCTCTGCTTTTTGCGGTCTATTTTAAATAATATAATTATGTATAATTACTCTAAGTACTTAGTGTACATAATTTATAACTGTATAATTTAATGCCTAAGTTTACAGTACCAAAATTAGAATAAAATACATAATATGTTTTATTTTCCCTATCCCGCATAATACGCTTTCTCGCTTAAGACGCGTTTTTGGTATGGTCCCTGAGAAATCGTATTAAGCGGGTTTTACTGTATTTGAAAATCGAAAATAAATTGAAAAAATTTTCGAGTCGGGCAGGACTTGAACCGGCATCGTCAGCGTTCGCACGTCAGTACGGAACGCTACGATGCCGTTTCAAGTCCTGCCTATATAGTGCCTTCATGTGCAATATAATAACATATAAAAAATATTAAAATCTTATTTCTAAGTTTCGTACTCGGAAAAGATCTTTTTTGAGTCATCATCACCAACTTTACTAAAATACTATAAGTTCTCAAAATGATAGCCTAAAAGGTTTTTATGTAAAAGGTCAATTGACCTTGTCTCGAGTAGTGATTAACTGACAAACGTACAGAAGCGAGATCACAACACCGTGTAATTACAGTAAGTACTTAGTAGTAGAAACTAGGCAGTGACATATTTATTTACCAGTAAAAAAATCAGAACACGACTATTGTAGTTTTATTTAATGATACTTTTGACAGTTAAAAATCGAGAGGTCAATCTGCACCAAGTTCAATATTTGTTTTCTTGTACCTGGAGAAGAAACCTTGCTTTTACAAGTTGCGCCAGATTGCTTATTGATTTCCTTGACTTTTGTTTGTTGTTAGCAAATTAATGATAACTTATTTACCTGACCGCTCAATTTTAAGATCTAAATAATAAATGTTTTATGAAAGGAAAATTAATTTAGGGAATAACCGATCACCTAAATAAAACCGATTTTTGTAACACTATTGATGTTCTACGTTGCCTGAAAATCGCAAAAATCTTTATTTATGTAAACGTAGTCCTTGTTGTTTCAGTTTTATTCACAGTATTGTCTCACTCGGAACGATTTATTTAACAATTAATATAAACGTATGAATGATTTTTTCTTTTACGCTTCCACTGCGTAACAGATTTTAAGTTCTGAAAAATGGTATTCCTTACTCTTGATCAGTAATAAAGTAAAAAAAAATATTTAAGCAAATAGCGAGAAGAACGTTCCGTACATTTTGTGGAAGATAATGTCAAATAACTATCGTTTGGGACAAACTTGGGAAGTACCGTCCTTCATACCGATGTGACGAATCATGATGTAAGGTTTCGAAGAATGACGCGAGTCACGTGTGACAGTATTTTTATATTATATGTTGGTACGAAAAATGTAGGTATAAAGTTTAAATATAGAATGTTATGTAGTAGATCAAGAACCGCGACATTACGTCCATAGGCCGTCCTTAAATTTCAGAAAAATATATTCGTATGTCCGTGTGCTGATAACGCGACGAATCATATCTTTTCGATAAGGTGTCAATCATTCAATGTTTCATTGAGGCGAGTATTTTCGTGTCGAACGGATGTATGTCAGAAATAAACAAACAAAGAATATAAACAAAGCGAGCATGATTTAGTGACTCGTTGTGTGCGAAGTGGTCAAATTATTGTATATCGTAATAAGCGATTGACTGTCCTGTAGTCGGTAAGTGTTTTTACAGATGATGTCTAAATTATATTGAGGTTTTGAGTAAATTTCGCTTCGTCAACCTTTGTACCTCGGTCTCTTTTAATGAGTGAAAAATCAATGATCAATAATAATTAACAAGTAGAAATATAATGTTTGTGTTATTTTGTATTCTAAACCATTACATTATAGGTAAATTGATTAACAAGAAATCATAAATAATATATATATTCGAACCGTCTTTATTTGTTGATAAAGGGAAATAATATCACTTATGAATAAATATTAAATAATTTATTTTGTCAAAACATACGTGCTTTTGACAAAATTAAAAAGCACTTTCCACACCATAGACCTTCGCCCGCACTATCATAATTATTATCAATTATCAATATTTGTTAAACAATATGATTATTCATCGGAACCTACAAGATTTGTACCAATATAAGCAAACGTATGCCGTTCTGTTACATAACTAAAACGCACCACTGCATATGCATTTGTACCCAGAAACCTACTCATATTAGTTGTGTTTTGAGACCAAAAACGTTATCAGAACATAATTGTATTGAACGTGTGACGTATTCCGATTGCAACACTGGGTCCGATACTATAATTTGAAAGATAAAAATAACAATAACTGACGTAAGTGTTATCAAATAACGGGGTCACATTTTGATTGAGGAGGGCCAGTGTCACTGAGATTCTGTTATTTCTCTAAGATAGCTTGAAGCGCTACTTTATTTGAGAATTTCGCAATATGCCCCGACAATTATTGTTGCATCATATTTTTTGGAATTGCTGCTCGGCCCGCCGTATAAATTAGGGGAATTCCGTTAGTACGTCAGCAGTTGAGAATCCTAAATGGGTACGTTCAGAGTTCAGTCCTTATATTGGGTATTTGGTCGTTCGTGACAGTGCAGCTCTATAAAACTGCGAGTTTTGGTTCGCCTCTCACTCACTCTTCGATGAAAACGCCAAACAAACAAAAGAAAAAAAAAATCTTATTCCGCTTTATAAATTATATAATGCTCTTTTTTTTTCAAATGTCTTAAGCCTTAACCTTATCAAATAGTGGGATGATACTTGATATAATCAAATAGATAAAAACATTAGTGTCGAAGTCGAATAAAGATAAGAATAATCTGTGTCATATTCAAGATAAATTTATAATCACATTACTAAGTAAATCGAAAGGTATCGCGCTAAAGAAGTTTTTAATAAATTTTAAAGAGAAAATAAATAAGGAGCAAACACGACGGCCAAGTAATGATGACTATACACTTACGCATCGGGACCAGTAATACCGGCTGCTTTAACTGAAATATGCTGCTCATTTATGCGTCGTGAATTGTTACATGACTGTCTAGTTCGATTACGAATCGCTCGCGTTTCAGTAATAACGTGATCGGCCAATTGGCATACGAAAACGATATGTTAGCACAACCGAGCCGGTTGCTCCGTTTAGGTTCCTCGTATATAAAAATATCGTCTAAAGGTGCTTGTTATTTAAACATACAAAGTTACAAGCGAAAGACCAAGGCAACAAGTTTCCGACATAAATTGATGGTACATTTTAACAAAGTATTGTATCTAACAAGAATGATTATTTTACATGGCAGGTGAAAGTTTAGTTGAATATTAGAAGTTAGTGACTCAATTACCATGAAACAATCTTTAGCATCGTTTCCCAAGACCGAGAAGAGAATAAAACTAGTACCACCCGATGGAGGGTGGGGATGGGTCGTGTTATTCGGTACAGGGTTAACGAACGTAAGTATTACTTTGTAAATGTCGTAACGTGCATTATATGTGATTACCAAAATGTACACTTCACAACTTTATTCTCTATGCGTTTCGCTTCGGACGGAATTTCGATATTCCCTATACCGATTTAGTTGGGCACGTAGAATGTTTCAGAATCAGAAAATGTTTCACAAACAAGCTGGACATGATGGCAAAGAAATCCTTGATGATGAACCGACTGACCCTTAACAGTGTCTGTGCTCGCAAAACGTGCACAGGTTTAAGCAAATAAAATGACCTTTGAAGTGTAAAACTTTAAAGCTAAATTGGTCATTGTAATAGGAAATTAACATTGTACAAAATAACAACGTTATCCATTGATTAACTTGTTATCTGATTGAAGGTCGATAATATATTTAGGTGATAATAGAACTATGACGATTTTTAGTTCCGTTATCTACAAAGTGTATTTTTGTTCCTACTGTTCGTGAAATTCCACAAATATACGTACACTTATAAAAGGCGGATGATTAGAGAGTAGTGTCTGTAGTTAATTTAATATTATTCATCTTATAATTTTTTGGAATGAATTTATAATGAAAAAAACTTCCGTTTTAGATTTTCAATCAATCTATGTTGTCCCTATTCAGTTTGTTATATGGGGACGCATTAGAGGCTATGGGACACAGGACGGCCGGAGCGGCCATCGTCATGAACACCATGCTCTGTGTGACCAACTGCGGGGGGCCCTTCGCAGGGGCCCTAGTTAAGAAGACGTCGCCTCGATTCGTTTGCGTCACTGGATCCTTTATTTGTACGATGGGAATATTTTTAAGTGGATTTTCAACGAATATTATCCACTTGGTCATAACGTATGGAATATTTTTGGGTGCGTTGCAAGCTGCGAAGGCTCGCTCGGTTGTTAGTGATCAGATCTAATACTCGTAAACGTATAGACTAATGTGTTGTCTTTATTGGACAATCCCCATGATTTTTCTGTTAAATCGTCGTGGCGAACGGACGAGAATTAGCGAAGACAATTTCAACATTGTCATATTAATAAAATAATATCATATTCGCCTACCAAGCGACATAACATGATTTTTCATATTTCTCCAGGTCTAGGATTAGGATTTATCCAGAACGCATCGTTTGTTGCGATAAATAGTTACTTCAAAGAAAAGAAAAGTATCGCCGTGGGCATCGCCATGACGGGAACCGGCATCGGACAGACTCTAATGCCTCACGTCGTTCGCTACCTTCTGGATAAGTATGGCTTCAACGGTGCATGTCTACTTCTCTCCGCGATGAGTTTACACGGGGTACATATGTTTCACTATCTTTAATCTATTCCGATCGTGTTAGTCGATGACTTTAATTGACATCTTTTTCTACAATGGTGGTAAACCTTTATTAAACAACGCCTGTTTAAAAAAAATAGTAAATTATGAAATGGATATATCGCTGTCGAATATTTGAAGCGATAAAAGTACCATAACAATGGTTATGATTTGCAGATTTGCGGTACACTCCTAATTCAACCGGTCGAATGGCACATGAAAGAAGTTGAAGAAGAAGTAATTGTTGATGAAAAAGTTCAGTTATTGGAATATAATAAAAAGACGGATGACGTAACGTACAAAAGCACGCGCCGAGTCACAAATCCATCGCTTTTGAATGAAGACAAAGGCGCATTAGGGCAGATGAATGGTCAGTTGCTTGACAAATCACAAACAAAAATTAACTTTAACAAAAAAGTTAAATACCTGTTATTTGTTTTAACTAAATTATTTGCGTTCTAAGCTTGTAATTTTTTCAGGGTCCAAGAAGAAAATAGAAGAAAAAGAGAAAAGTGTACTAAGGAAAATTTATGAATTATTTGATATGTCACTGCTATCGAGTCCTCGCTTCCTAAACATTATTATTGGAACCGCCTTGACGGCTATTTCCATACAAAACTTTAGTATGCTGTATCCATTGTTTTTACAAGTAAGTATAATAGTTTTAAGCGTTAGAGAGCCCAGCTGTACACCTCGTGTCAGTGGGCCCATACTTTTTTTTTAATGGTCACCAGAATTATGAGTTACAAATGAACATCATTTCAGAAAGTAGCAGGCATGGATAAACAAGAAACTGCCAATTGCATGTCGGCTGTAGCTTTAGCTGATATCGTCGGAAGGCTTTGTATCCCGCAGCTGCAGGCGAAATTCAATGTTTCAGCCAGGATGACGCTGATTCTAACCAGCATCTGGTTATTCGTCGTGAGACAGAGTGAGTGCCCCTTTCGCGTTAAAACCTACTTCATAATTATTTTTATCTTGTATTATTTAATGCACGACAAGGCTAGCGGTTGCTATAGTATGATAAGGAATCAATGTAATCAAACTATTTTTATTCACCTTATCGATGCCTGTATTGTTACTGACGCGAGAACTTTCAATCTATTATAATTATTTTGAATTTGTTATTCGTCAAACTTACACAAAGGATTATGAGATAAACGTTTTTTCCAGTTCTGGCGTACCAGACCGACATGTACGTTTTACTCGCACTCTCAGCACTGTACGGTATAGGAAGGAGTATGGTAATCGTGGCTAGAAATATAACAATCTCGGAGCAGTGCAGAACGGAGCAGGTCGCCTCCGCGGTGGGTCTCGGAATGTTGAGTATGGGCGTACTGACCCCACCGATCGGGTATTTCTTGGGCTGGATCAGAGACTACACGGGCAACTACGTCGCTTGCATAAGTGCGCAGAATGCCATTCTCGTCGTATTCCTGATCATGTGGATACCGGACATGTTGCACGACTACTACCACAAGAAGAGAGAGAAAAGCAAAGCCGAAGACGAAGCGCAGGCGGCGTAGGGCAGGAGATGGCACACTTTAGCGTCTGTGATATTGGAGCCGAATTGAGATTTTACTGCATAATGTGTGGAACATAAATACTTAAGCCTACATAGAAACGTCGGCTGTGATGTATTGTATTCCTTCGTGTACAAAGTAACTTAGTTTGACACCAGTTAGCATTTTTGACATTGAGACTGACGCAGTGTCGACCGTCGACGAAGAGATTTTAGACTTTAGTTAAGTATTTATGGATTGTTTATTTTGACATACGCAATCTCTAGTCTACATATTAAATTGTTATATTACCGTTATCTGTGTTTCCTTATTCACGTAAAAGTCTGCAATAAAACATTTAAGTCTTACTCTCACTAGCAAAACTTAAAGGAAATGTACGGGAACTATATAATTTGCGTGAATTATTGCTAGATTAAATTATGGTGCGATTGTTTTGCTGTTTTATAGAAAAGATTTCATTTACGCATTAGTTTGTCCCGGAAAAGTTAATAATATACAATTACATTGGTTCTAGAAAAGGGTTCTTTTTGTTTACTCAAATTTAAAGAGGACAATAAACATGACCTCTCGATAAACTCTTTAAAATATTTTTCCGAAGCAGATTACAATGTCATTACCGAGTAGATTGAACCTCGGGTGGCAAGTCGTCTGTCATTTGTTAGTTCTCGATTATTGGCCTCTGCGTACCTATATCGTGTTGAAACCGTGCGTCGAAAATGTTATTTCGAAAGAATTAATACGATCATTGTTTCAAATATTGTCAATTAAATTATGTTAAATATGCTCACGGCTTACTTATACTTAAAAACTTTAAAATAGTATTTCGTAAAACTACTGTACTTACGAAAACTGGAAAACGACTTTGATAAGAATGTACGTATGAAGACGCATCAGAGTCGCCTTAAGTCAAACATCTCAAGCTCACACCAACCTCGTGGATTTCGCTCGCGAATTGATAACCAAACCAATTCAATATACTGTCAAACTAAATAGTCCTATTGGTTTTAACGTATCTGCGTCGAACGGATGTATCCTATTAGAATAGGAAAGAATCGAGTGCGGAATTTGTGATTACGAGGCAAGTGGCGCTCAGCATATATATAACTGATATCGAAGTAATTGGGTGAGACTTTTTGTACTGTAATTACTACACATAAAATAACTTTAAGTATATCACAAATACTGTACTTAGTTAAATAGATGTATATTTTAATTAAGTTGCCTTTTAAATACTTAGCTTAGTATAAAAAACATTACAGTTTGCGCTAAATTCCAGTTTTATTCCAACTGGAATTTTTATCAATAAATATACTATGAAATTATACTGCATGGGATGACCCTCTTTTTCAATTAGTCATGTGAGGAACCTCTTCGTAAAAAAACAACACTAATAATTTATAGACTGTGGACACTATATTGTGCTAGTAAGAATTACTGAGAGTATGTCAAATAGTTACTTGGCGTTATCTTGGATCGGCCAGTTGGGCGGCTCTCATTATTCTTAAAGAAATGGCGAAAAAACTTCATTTCATTCCATTCTCTATTCAATATTCAACGTGTATTAGAGTTCAGTCTAATAGAAAAATAACAGAAATAGAATATAACACCTGATCTTTCAGGCTTATGTAAATTTTTCAACTTCGTTACGACCCGTATGCCTAGTAAATAGAGAACAATAATTTTATTTCAGCTGAACGCATAAATTTTATTGATAGGAGAAAAATAAAATGACTTTGAAAAATTCCGTCGCATCTTTTCCGAAGATTGAGAGAAGGGTAAAATTAATACCGCCAGATGGGGGTTGGGGATGGATGGTACTTTTTGGAACTGCACTGACCAATGTAAGGAAGTGCATGCATTTGGATTTTCATATTATACAATATTTTTTTATACTAACGACAGCAACGATTGTGCGTTTATTTTAGACTTTCAACCAATCCATGTTTTCACAATTCGGTTTGCTGTATGGAGACCTACTAGAAGAAATGGGCCACAAGACGACAGGAGCCGCCGTCATCATGAGTACGATGCTGTGCGTGACGAACTGCGGCGGGCCCTTCGCTGGGGCCCTCGTCAAGGTGCAGTCGCCTAGATTCGTCTGCGTCACGGGCTCAATCGTTTGTGCCACGGGAATATTTTTGAGCGCATTTTCAACGAATATTATTCACTTGATTTTGTCTTATGGAGTTCTCTTCGGTGAGCTATTTTCATAATGATACTGTTAAAAGCCGAGTGAAGCTTACACTCTTGTAATGATATTATCGAAATGTTGAAAAATAAAGGTCATTTGTGTAAATTAAATTTATTGTTATTTTGGAAATCATATAGTATAATTATTTTGCGATTATATATTTTCGTTCTTTGTAAGATTGTCAAAGGAGTGGTTTCCCGAATAGCATTTAAAAAAAATAGTTTCTGGCATCTTCAGGTTTGGGATTAGGATTCATTCAAAACGCGGCGTTCGTGTCGATAAATAGTTACTTCAAACTGAGGAAAAGTATAGCCGTCGGCATAGCGATGACGGGGACCGGCGTCGGGCAGGCTCTGATGCCTCACGTCGTCCGATACCTTCTGGATGCCTATGGCTTTAGAGGCGCATGTTTACTGCTGTCGGCGATGTGTTTACACGGGGTGAGTGACGGCAAATGAAGTCTCAACGACAATTGATACAAACAACTTAGGTTTGCAGGCTCTATTAGGATCCGCTTGCAGGTCTGCGGGACGCTACTGTTACAACCGGTGGAGTGGCATATGAAAAAGGTTGAGGAAGAAGTAATTGTAGAAGAAGGGAAATTATTGTCAAACGAAAGTGAAAGGAAAGGTTTGTAAAACCACAATAAAGTTTGACATCTTGAGCACTTGCATTCCTAATTCTATAATGGTAACTTTGTTTACAGAATGCGATAACAAAGGGACAGAACGAAAGAGAAGCGTTTTTAGGAAGGTTTTAGATCTCTTTGACATGTCATTACTGTCAAATCCACGCTTCACCAACGTGATTATCGGGATAGCTCTCACATACATTTCGGTACAAAATTTTGGCATGCTGTATCCGTTCTTCTTGCAGGTACCGTATACAGATTTCTAAAATGTAGTCGAAATGGATGTAACGAGTTTTATTTGAATAATTTAATTGTATAATTTAAAAATCGAAAATAAATTGAAAAAATTTTCATCCGACTTGAACGGATGTCATTCCTGCTGTTGCTCTACCAATTGAGTACCGAGTCCTACACCTCATGTCGAATTTTTTCAATTATTGATACATGCACCTCTCCGCAATAATTAAATTATTTAATTTAATTGTATTCCAGAATTACGTCGGGATGAGTAAACAAGAAACCGCCAATTGTATGTCAGCCGTAGCATTTGCCGATATTATTGGAAGGCTCGTGGTGCCGCCCGTGCAGGCTAAATTCAACGTGTCAGCCAGAATGACACTAGTTTTAACATGTATCTGGATCGCTATAACTAGACAGAGTAGGTATTTTTCTTCCATAGCTATTGTACGATGTTATTTTAATGTCACCGCTATACGACAGAAGCAAACAAAATGCTATTTATAATAATGCTTTTGTAAAATCCTCGATATTTGTATTATTTTAATTTGTACGATTCTTGCCTTACCTCTGGGTCTTCTTTATAAAGCTATTAGGTAAAAAATTCGTCTATCTTTTCAGTTTTGGCATACCAAACGGACATGTATGTCTTGCTTCTCTTGTCAGCGTTGTACGGCATCGGTAGAAGCATGGTCATCGTGGTGAGGAATATAACAATCACCGAGCACTGCGGAGCAGATCAAGTAGCGAACGCGGTGGGACTAGGAATGTTAAGCTTGGGACTGATAACTCCACCCATAGGTTATTTCCTAGGTTGGATAAGGGACTACACGGACGACTACATCGCTTGTTTGACCGCACAGAATGGTTTACTCGTGTTATTCCTGTTTATGTGGATACCTGACATGTTCTACGCTCGATACAAGAAAGCGGCGAGAGAAGAGCGAGTTGATGAAATTCAGATGACGTAGAAGTAAACGCAACGAGGTCCAGGCCGACGACAAACGGTGGCTCTAATGAAGCTTAATAGCTGGCTGTGATATTTGTTATTCAATACTTTTTGAGGGCTGCAAGACGTAGGTACTTGTTAATAAAGAGTTTAAATTTAAATATTTTTTCATCTTTTAATAGATCGGTCTAACTGCTTCGATAAGCCACCGGTCCCGGTTACCACTACCAAAGCAGCAGTCGTGAAGAACATTAGAATATATGTAGTACGATGTAGGAAATAGAAACGCCTTTCAATCTTCGTGCTCGCGTGACTAAGTTTATAAAAGATTAACTACTCGATCACTTCGAGAATCTCATAGTTTATTCAGAAACAACCTCTACTGTGCATTTAGCCGTAATGGTAGGAAACGAGACTGATTCGATACATTCGTAGGCATTAAAACAATTCTACTTGTAAGAATAATTCGACCAACGATCTTTTCAATTTTAAGCTACACACTCAATCAAAAATACATTTTAGGTAAAAAGCAATTAATTGGTAAATTTTACTTTATGGATAGCGCAAAGCAAGGTACGATTCGGTCCAAGGTGCGTGCTCTGCCCAGGTCATTATTTTTCTTACAGAGTAAGATATATTTAACCTAAATACTTTAAACATAAGTAAAATGATTAAAATAGATATAAGACGATATATAATGAATAGGCGTAGTGCTTTTATTTCTGATTGATCATATTTCATTACCGTAGGAACGTAATAAAAATCAGTAATGACTAATGGTTCGAATGCTTTAGCACAAAGTACTACCTTATAATACGTATATCGCTCTGTTCCATTATTATTATGTGCACGCTCGGAGCTACTTTGAATAGCAGTTGTCTAACAAACGGCGTCAGATTTTGATAACGACCAGCAATTAGTCCCAGAGCGGAACTAACAAAGATGGACACTGATGGTGCCTTTTAAATCTTGATTAGCTTCATCGCGAGATTTTTACAGATAACAAAGGAGGTAGCGCTCGTACAAAGTCACGCTCGAGTCGATTATATTTAGTTTGAAAATAAGGTAGTTTCAACTGATTTGTACATTCACGAGATGAATAAAATTTGCCTCAAATTCGTAGGCAGCACAGACGCGTATTTTCGTACGTTTGTGTTTAATTTAGTCTGAGCTAAACAAATTCATTGCCACCGTGCACCGAGTGCAGCGTAAATCCGGGGGGTGTCTCCGTATATTATATTATGTTCCTACTTCGAGCACGACTAACAGATTATCCTCCCCTTTATATATTTTATTTTCAACACATTTGACAAGTACGAGTAAAACCGCGAAATTAAACAATAGTTCCGCATTTGTGCAATGAACCAATTGCAAATATATAACACACCATTACCATTTAGTTTAATTCGAATGAATTCGTGTAAGATTGTATAATTTGTTTCTATTAGTCGTTAGATAATATTAGTAAGATATAATAAATTATCAAACGAGCGAAGTCAAGGAGTCGAATACGATAAAAAGGTTGATGATAACATTCAGCCGAACGAATATTATAATGTAATCCGGATCTTCGTTTTATTTGTATGTGTGTATAGTATAATCTCAAATGTAATATATATATTCTTATTTGTTTGCTAAAATGATTCGTAAGAAAAATGATAAGGTGCAAAGTTATGTTAGCCTGTGTAATGTATTTTAATAGCTATATTACTTGATAGCTGCTATTATCTTCTACGATTTATTTCCAAACTAAACTGAAGCATTAGAAATAACTGTTTTTGTCCATAAAATAGTAAAGCATGAAATGAGGGACGTATAATAATGTTGTAAATAAAAATAATGAAGTTAAATAAAATCACGCAATAAAGGCAAACCTTCGAAACTACTGCACAGACCTTTTCGCAAATAATTTGAGCGGAGTTTGACGCAACATAAAGATTTTGTTAATTGAACTAGTAGAAAAAAGTAACAGTTATTTAACCACTTTATAATTTAAAAATCCGATATTGAAAAATTTTTTAATTTATTTTCGATTTTAAAAAAAGTAACGTAATGTTTCAAATATTTAACCACTTTATAAAAAAAGCTCGGTTAAAGAATTTGTGTTAAAACAAACTTCCAAATTCATATAAGCTGTCATGTTCAATAACAGATTAATAAACGCACGTGCACCGATGATGATGAACTCAGTCTTATCATATTATCACAAGATTTTAACTTTATCGACAGGGTGCAGTTGACAGTCAGTCATGGATATCTAATGCATTGCAGCTTAAGAAATCACTTAGATTAAAGTTTGAAAACAATAATATTTCGTCATGTTAGTGCATTCACAAGAGCTGCTTATATAGGTTCAAGAAATTCTGAACAGAACGGTGCAGAAACAGGTTCAAGTCTCAATGAATCAATTGTTAATTTAAGTAAAGCCATCGTGTTCGACGACGTGTGAAATATAGTAAAGTTGGACGGAGCATTATAGGCCTCCTCGAATACTATTTTGTGTATCACGAACCGAACCCTAAACCTATGAGAGCAACCTTCGACTACAAATTCAATTTCCGCTTCGTGCCTTTTCTCAATAAATACGCGATTACTCTGTTTACATAACGATTGTGTGTATTTATTCAGGTCTCAACTGTCTTCTGATATGAAATTCCGTGGACATAAATTGATGTAACCGAGTCGTACAGACCAATTTCAAGTTCTATTCCTTAATAAACGACAAAATAATAAAGACCGCTCTAGGCACAATAAAACCTCTCTCGAAATGTTCACTTAGCACCACTACGAGGAAACAAGATTTACTAGTTGCGAATACTTTGGGAAGTTCCGTCTAAAGCGCTGCCACTTCTTCTATTCCAAATGAGGAACAGTAATTAAGGAAGACTGGGCTGAATTGACTGAATTGCGGAGACGCTGTTAATTTACCTTTTATTTAATAACACTATCCGACTATATATACAAATCGTTTCCCCATTATTTATAGTGAGGTCAACTTCCCGTACAGCATGTCCATTAATTCTTGCTTCATATTACTGAAATTGTAAAAAGCTGTTTAACTTTAAGCTGTTGATGTTTTCTAGTCTGCTTTTACGAAACTAATAATTAGCACATACAAAGGGTTTTTACTATTATTTAAAAGATGTCTATCCTGAGAAAGATATCGCGCAACCTAATGACAACGAACGGAGCGACATCGTGTCCACACTGATAAATAAATCAAATTGATTATAACTAGCTTCACGGCGGTGAGCGGTAAATCGCGAAGCAGATTTTAAGAGGAAACGAGAATCGGTTAAGTTAAATTGAAATGAAGTTGCGATTTCGGCACGTTTTTCAGCGTAAGTGATCAATTCCGGGTGCGGTGCGAGGCATTTGAGCGCATTTGCCGAAGCCGGGCACATTTCGCAGTAACACATAGCGCCGCAGAGCGCTTAGCACGGAATTCGATTCAACTAATGCCGCCTAATCCTGGCCGGTGGCACCCGAACAGCACGGCTGCATTCCGAAAGGCCTTGCGCAATTGCAGCCGGTGATTGATGATAATCCCGGGCCCATCTGGACGAGGACAAAACAATACACTTGCGTTCCTCTCTCGAACGATTGTTCCGTTCCGGTCTCGATGGATCCCATTGTTATTCGCTATCGGGTGGCTGACGCGTTTCGCCTATTTTCAGTTTATTTTTGCACGACCTCCAAACCTTGTTGCGCCGCGCTTCTCTCTAGGCCCTCGCCTAGGTGCCAGCGATAGTTCACGCCGCGCTTCGTTAACATTTTTTCGACACAAATATAAGCCTCCTCACAAGCGGCGCCGAGCACCTGTTGTTACATGTGGCTCTTAACGGTGTATTTCGTAAAATGTTGAATTTTTATTAAAAGGAATAGTGACGATTTTAAACATCAGCAATGAAGGTTTCAATTAGGAAACAGTAATTCGACTGCATTCCTTTTCAAGGCAGGCTATAGGTACGCTTCGAGCAAACGGAATGTTATTTTCTCAATGCCATAAACCGGATTTACTGTAACATCTCTCTCAGTTATAAAGAAGATAAAGTAATAAACGTACGTACTCGTAGGGTACAAAGTGTAACTCGTAGGTATCATCTATGACGATAGATGATACCTACGAGTTACACTTTGTACCCTGATTCGTGCGTGTAGTAGAGTACCAACTTACGAGATGGCTTTGCCCGCCTCGAGATGTGCCGAACATCGCATCGTAAGAATTGTCTAGTCTAATCCATAATAAAATAAGCCGTTATTCTAAATAAATCCCCGCCCGCGCCGGTTCCGGTGCGAAGCAGGCGAGCGGAAGGGGGGGGCGGAAGGTGGGCTTCGGAAACAGGATGGTGTAAGATAAAGAGAACATTTCCTATAGCGCGTCTTGGGAGATTTAGCAACATTCCGAGCCGACCTCGTTCTTTTAATGCGCCGCGGGCTAAGTGTAATTCACGAGCTTTCTTGCTTATTTTTCGTTAACGTGTACTTTGCTCTCGGAATGAACTCTTGAATTTAACGCGGCTTCAACGCGAGTGTTACACGAGTGCAAAATTATGTTATTATGAAGGCGCGGAAATTTAATTCCCGTAAAATGTAGTGGCGTTTTAATATGGCCGCGCTCGAAGCTGTTTCACGGTCAATTCGTTCTTCACACCGTGAACCAGTTGAGATCGATTGGCTTGTAACTATATGGTAATGATCGCTTCGACGAAAATAGAGACAACAGCTCTTATTCCCGGGTAGAATCTAAAGCGATGGCTGTATTTCATAGAATGTAATCCTATCAATGTTAATAGTCAGTAATACGGCGACCTATTACCGGATACAAATCTAGTCGGAATCCCTTAAGACCGTGGAGCACATGAGGTTTATTAACAGTTCTATTGGCTTAGTGCGTGGCCGCTCCATACGACGTTTAGATTCATTGCTACCTTTGACTTCGAAACAACAAAATGTACACATAATTACGATCTGTTTGCAAGTATCAGTAGCCAACTTTCACACGTGTCGATTAAAGTCATA